TGAAATGGTGCCTTGCTTTTGAGGTAAAGGCATACTTATCATATCTGCTACAACATTGCACTAAGCTCGACAAAGCGAGGTACCCGACATCCAGTTACCGTAAATAATAGAAAAAAAAGCCTGACCTAAACATAGTTCTGCTCAAAAATCGTCTGCCTTGAATGAACGCATGCCTTAAATAGTACCTGCCTTGAATACACGCCTACCGTTAATAACCACCTTTCTTCCAACGCCTGTCCAGTATAAACGACACCTGGCCTGAATTTTCGTCATATATTCTTTATTTTTTATTTTATTTTATATTTTATTTTTGTTGTTGTTGTTGGTGGGTGGGTGGGTGGGTCGGGTGGGGGGTGTGGGGGTGGGGGTGGGGTGTGGGGTGGGGGGGGGGGGGGGTGTTTGGGGGGTGGGGGTGTGTGTTAATAACTTCAACGAACTACAAACAGGACTTTCAAAAGGTCAGGAAATACGATATATTATCTATACTGAGAGTGCATGTTTGAAATTAACGACAAATGACTGATAAAGTCTCCCAAGTTAAAATATGCTGAATGAAAGTCCCATGTCCAACTTCTGGTGTCGAGAGCTTGCCTTTACCCGAGTTGAGATTTAATCGACGGATGAAACAACAACATACTTGACGTGAAAATCCTTAGGCATTTTACGACACCGTGGAACTAAACTACCGGACAAAAGAAAGTATACACTTGAAAACTGGACTTGACCAAAATATTACACACGTCTGTTCCTTGAAAACAGTCGCGCAGCACTGGTCCAAAATACATCATTCTATACCCGTATCAAATACACCGTCATTGTATAACCATGTCTTGTTTGTTTCACTTTTAGCCACCATCAAATACAGGTGTATACTTTCTTTTGTCCGGTAGTGTACGACGTAACGGAATAATCCACAGACTATTACTTCGTAACGACTGCTTGTAAATATTTTCTATTCAACTCATGACCGAAAGGTCAACAAGGACTAACCAGAGTTCAAGTGGGAATAGTCCCCTGGCTCAGATTGAAGCCGACAAAGGGACAACTGAAATGCCCTAGGGATCGACCGTTGAAAATCTGGGCTGGTCTGGAATGTTTTCTTGCCAAATTGTTCCAGAAAATACCGGAATAAATCCTCAGATTTTACCCCCATTCGTGACCAACTCGTGTTATTCCGGGACAAGCCGAATCGCGACTCGTGCTCCTCTCGTGGCCATTTTTTGCGACTGGGTCCCGTCTAAGCGCAAACGGGCATAACTAAAAATATTGTCAACTCGTTGCGTAATGATTCACGCAAATTTCCCATATGTCATATATTCCAGATGCTATTTAAGACACATCGGGACTTAAGGTATTATACAGTATGATTGAACACATTTAACTGTGTCTTGGGTATATTTTTAGATGCAAGACGTATGTAAAATCAAAAATTATATCTGAGGGATTCTTTGACGAAGAACTTGAAATCATACGCGCATTCTGATTGGTTTGTCATATTTTTGAACATAACATTCATCGATAGCGGGACGAGTCTTCTTGCAGGTTACGGAAAGAGGCGAGTGGTGACGAATGATTTTACCCCGAAGATGGATAACATGATATCCTGACATCTGTTAAAAAATGGGTAACATACACATATTTATGGATAACAACAGGGTGTTGTTTTACGTCTATATTCGTTACAATGAATAAAGAGGTTGTTATCCATAAAGATGTGTCATGTATTCATTTACAACTTCTAAACGCTTATAATGGACTGAAAATGGGTCTGTTCTCCTTACCGTAAAATAGATGCATGTCTTGAAGCATTGATATTCTACCTCTAGCACTAACGCAACACCCCCCGCCCCAACTCACGTTGATATTCTACCTCAAGCACTAACGCAACCCCCCCCCCCCCACTCAACATAACAAATTGATGTCCCCTTACAGCATTGTTGGGCCACCTTTCCTGTTTATGAAACCACATCCTAACCTATCCCATAATTAATTTGTAAAATTTATATTTCGAGAAAATAATTTCATGTTTGTTGAGAACATAATACGCCGGATTAGATTGATTCGGGTTACGTTTATTCCGCTGTATTTGAACTTAAAGCGTAAAATGTGGCACACATTTGGAGGTAGAAATAGTGGGTTGGCCACAAATGAAAACAATCCTGACAGATGTATTGACCTGAAATTCCATTGTCGTTTACACAGCCCCAAAGGTGCCACTAATGAGGGTCTCCGAGCCTTAGGGGTCGTGACAATAGGCCTCTTAGCTCGTGCATTAAGCGGCCTCTTAGCTCGTGCATTAAGCGGTGGGAGCTGCAAACTGAACTTTTTAGCAAGGTAAACAAGTAAACAAAACCGAAAATAATGCCATATGGTTGTGTAACGTCCAAAGCTGATTATTCACAGAGCCATGCTACTCCATACACGGTAGCCACTGACCGCTCATTTCAAGAACTACGATGCTTATACCATTGTAATAGTTTTAGCATCGCGTGGGTATTTTACACTTAAATCCTTGTTTTGCTAGATGCTAAATCAAGGGCGCGCTTGCACAAAGCGATCTTAGCGCTAAGACTAACGTAAGCCTATGTTAAAGGATGGGAGTTACGGTCATCTTAGCGCTAAGATCGCTTTGTGCAAGTGGGTGTTGTACATTGGAGTTTTTTACACTGGTCTGGTTCGCCCTGATTATGTTTCTAGGGTTGTCGGGTGTTAAAATGTTTAAATGTCATGTTTAAGGACGCTTAAAACACTATTTCAGTAGACTTGCACAAGTCTCTAAGGCAATAATTATTAGTTCAAATCCTAATTTCTAGTTTATGTAAATAATAAGAACAAGTTGTCCCTATAAGAGACTGGAGCCCTTACTGACCACATATCTAGACTTGCTTATAAGAAAGATAGAATTACAAAACATTCAAGGACTTATCTTTCAGTACAGCCTTGGAGTAAGGCTACTATTTCAGTTTTATTACAGTGTATAAGTATAAAGTTAATAGGAAATAAAAAGTTCGTTGTAGATTTCTACCCCGTTCGTGAAACTCATGAATATGGTGATATCAAACCATGGAGGCAAAGATGGGATTTGAACCAACACACAAACGAACCAGCACGACTAAGGGACGCTACTCTGACAAATCTATTCGTGACCAACTCGTGTTATTCCGGGACAAGCCGAATAGCGATCTTCTTGCAGGTTACGGAAAGGGGCGAGTGGTGACGAATGTGACAAATCAAGGAAACCAATCTGAACCCACCTAATGCAGCATCTTGCCCGTTGAGTTAACTGTGCCCCAAGTTATTTTAATAAGTTTTCACACAATCACTTTGACACATATTCTTCTCCCTTCGTTTGTTTCAATGTGAAAAAAAACTCCGTGAGGTCTCCACTTAAGAAATTAGGCCCCCAATAACCTACGCTTGCCGTAAGAGGCGACCTGGTTTATGTATGTTATTACAACCCTATTTCATAAATCGATGCTTATGATGTCAAGCACTGGATTGTCTGGTCCATATTTGATTGTTTAGAGATAGCCGTCACACAGGTAGAATATTGAGAGTACGGCGTTAAAACAACAAACGAACAAACAATTTTGAAACAGGACAAGAAACTGAACCCCTACTCTCCACCCACCACATACGCCCATGTATGCTCATATATGCTCATGTATGCTCGAAGACAGATTAACATATTGTCTGTGGCATCTTTTATCACACATACCTTAAATGTTTACTTTAATGGCTGTAGTGAAAAAAAAAATTTTTCATCCTTTGGGGTGTGCCAGGTATTTGACTATTATATTATTATATTATATTATATCCTGTCTATGAAAATGATGGCGTACGCACCTCAGACAAGAGCACAAGCAAATATCGTGATATGTATCCAGCGTTAGAAATTGGCACTAGTCCTGTAGTCCTTGCCAAATTGCCCAATACGAACCAGTACACTTCTAAAAAGAAAATATTCTAATTCGGATGTGGAAAAAAGCGAGCTACACTTCCTTTTTACATAATCTAGATTTCAGACTGACTGTGTTTTTTCATAAAATGCATAATTATATTTCAGAGGCATGGTGCTGGACTTTCATTGCAAAAAAATAAATATGTTTTTACAACATGACCTTAGCCAGACCCCCAGCCCCAAAAAACAGAATACGGGATTATGCATCTGTTTCATCGTTAGAACGAAACTATGCAAAAATAATTCAAAGTCAAAACACCAAGAACGACTTATTGTCGCAATTGTTGCTCCGGCATAAGACAAGTCCACCGACCCTAGCGCTGCATATGTTTAGTGTGTGAGTTACGATCGTCTTAACGCTAAGATGGCTTTGTGAAACGGGGTCTTGTTTTCTTGAATACTGTTACTGCCATCGGCGTTTATATAATATTTTATATTCTTTGTACATGCATTTTAAGATATGTCGATGTCGGCGGCGTAAGACACTGCCTATCTAATTGATGTCTACACAACCCATTATAATGTATCTCGTTATACGCTGTTTACATATTTACAAATGGCTCACTCTTTAGCATCACTACAAATCATATAACGCACACTCTTCTTGAATGTAAATATTGTTTCCTTGATAACTGCCAATTAATATTAATCATTTCAACTGTACAATCTATTCCGGAAAAGGTAAATAATCTGCTGACGAACACAATTCTATTACCCTTGGAAAGCTATTGAATGTTATTGTTCAGAATAACGAATTCTTAACGACACGAAGTCAGATACCGACCATTTATATTCTGAGGGCGGTTACCTGGAATTTGTATCCAAATTAGATATTTTTAGCTACAGCTACTTAAGCAGATATTTGTATGTAATTGTATGTAATGTTTGTGGCAAGCAATTCGCTTTTCTTTCAACAGCCTGAAGTATAATTATTTTTTCAAGAAATGTCGTAGAAAATTTATATTTTGGGATAGAATCCCAGGCTCCCCCCCCCCCCCCCCCCTCACACACTCACACACCCACCCACCCACCCCTCCTCAAAGCAAATATTAAATAGTCTCTCCCTGAATTTCATGTTATTACCCCGTAGTGATGCTAACTGTGATTGTCCTGAATAGCCAGTTCCAATTCCAGGAAGTTGGAAATAACTTGTGATCGACTCTTGCTAATTAAATCTTAATGCCCAGCAAAGATATCATTGTTATTGTTCAGACTTACACACTCCGGACATAACGAAGTTTCTTTCGAAGTTGGCTGTTCTTTCAAAAGTTGACCACATAATAAAACAATTAAAATATTGGCAATTACACCTGATCATTTACAGTGAAACATTATACCTCGGACCTTGAGACACCGAATATCGAGTTATCAGTAGTACGTCTTACTTAGTTCGGGAAAACCGAATATATCGAGTTTTCAGTAGTTCGTGACAAACGGAGTACCAAAATAAGATAACTATATGGCAGGGACTAACAGGTCTTAATCGAATTAATCGAATTAAAGATGTTCGAGTTAACAAGGTTTCACTGTAAATCATTTCGAAATAATATTAATTTTCATGCTGTTGGAAAATCGTTGGCAATATCGTATCTTGGAGATACGTCCAACTTGTATATGTCGGTAGTCGGTGTGTGGTACCATTGATGGCATCAGGATACCGGGTGCCTGTCTTGGAGATAGGGCTGATGAATGCGTAATGTTGCTGTGTTCGCCTAGTATTACAAGCCGACCATGGCTGCTGCACAGAGAAATACCATCACTGTAAGGCTTGCTGTTAGTGTTGAAGATGATCCACGATTGTGCTCGCCATCTGCTGAAACATATAAAAATTAACTCATGACATATTTTCATTGGAAACATTCTTTGAAATAAAAAGATATAGTAGTCTTTTAAAATTAGAGAATTAGAATTTAATTTGCTGAAATTCGCTTGTGATGTGCTCGCTATCTGCTTTTTGTATGCCCCGTTCTTACGGTTCTGCTTTCTCCAACTACAGATGTGGCACTTCCCCTTTAAGGTTAGAGTGAGTGAGTTAGTTGGGTTTAACGCTGCTTTGAACAGTATTCCAGTTATATCGCAGCGTGTCAGCTTCATGTGGGAGGAAAGCCCCAAGTGATGCAGGTCTCAGACGTTTTAGTACCACTTCGGTGAAACCCACGAGCACGGGTATGGTGCTGACAAACCTGGAAACATAATCGGGGCGAACCGGGATTCGAACCCACAATCATAGGTATCTGGCATGCCCAAGGGACGCAACTCTGCACAGCAAATCGCGGCACCTTAGACGACTGGGCCACGGGTGGCCCCCTTTAAGGTTAGAAAGGCAGGTATGCACTGATATGTATGGTGTGTATTCAGTGTACTGAAAATACTGAGGATGAAAGACTCGTATTGTAACACTGCCCTTAGACTTGCACGAGTCTTTAAGGCAATAATTACTAGTTTAAGTCATAATTTCTAGATTATGTCATAAAAAAGAATAAGTTGTCGCTATAAGAGACTTGAGTCCTTAGATCCATGGACATATCTTTCAGTACAGCCTTGGAGCAAGGCTACATTGTCCTCTGTATGAGGATCTGCATGACAATATCAGTTTTAGCTATCCAAATTGTTTAGACTTGTGTGACAATGTCAGTTTTAGCTATCCAAATTGTTTAGACTTGTGTGACAATGTCAGTTTTAGCTATCCAAATTGTTTAGACTTGTGTGACAATGTCAGTTTTAGCTATCCAAATTGTTTATACTTGTGTGACAATGTCAGTTTTAGCTTTCCAAATTGTTTAGATTTGTGTGACAGTGATCAATTAATTGTACTTTTTAAACACAGTGTATATTACTTGCCAGAACCTGACTTTTAATTCTACAATAATATAATTCTAATTTTATATAGTTAATGCTATTTTATATGTCATGTATAATATCCATTCAAGTTTATTTAAACGTTTACTGACTTTTACGACTTTCATAACTCAGTAAAAATGGCTCTATACACCGTATATATTATGTATTATAATTTTGTATTTTTAAGAACTGTATGGAGGCGATACGAGAATAAAAAGATTCTGTTCGTTTATAGTATGATGGTGGTATTGTTTTTTGTCAGGCATTTGGTACCGTAGTTAGCTTTTTTATAATCTATGGAGCTGAAACATGAACTATGTAGAGTTGAAATTATATCATTTTAAAAGAACTCAGAAGATGACACACACTCAAATGATCTGAATAATATATATTTGATAATTACTCAGTCAGGAGTGAGCAAAAAGCTTTTATTACGGCAGTATTGATTTGCTTGTTAAAAGTTAAAACATTTTTTTTTTAAACTTAAAGATTTTAATGGGAGATGAATTTAAAATTTATTGGTTGGTTGGTTGGTTTGTTGTTTAACGCCGCACTCAGCAATAGTCCAGCTATATGACGGCGGTCTGTAAATAATCGAGTCTGGACCAGACAATCCAGTGATTAATATCATGAGTATCGATCCACGCAATTGGGATCGATGACATGCATCAACCAAGTCAACGAGCCTGACCACTCGATCCCGTTAGTCGCCTTTTACGGCAAGCATGGGTTGATGAAGACCTATCGGACGTCCACAAGTCATTGTGGCCTAATAAAATGTCAAACAGAAGTTCACACCTCTGACAACACTGAGCTGTGTTACCAATGCCGCAAACAATATACAAAAACAATCCTCCGTCAGTCAGGGGAGACGACTCATTCTTCCCCAATGCTGCAATAAGTATTTGTCGGTAGAGCGACTCACCTACTGCTTCCATAGCACAAGATCCGGTCTTCATACAATCGTGCCGTTCCGTTGCCGGTTTGACTTCTACAGCTGTAACAACAAGTTATAATTAGAATAAGCGTTTCTTCCTTAATGGGCACAAAACTGAATGGTAACTGAAATATTGGGTATCATTTTCATAGAAAAAACTAAATACCGTCATAGAAATTCATTCACCTCACTACTAACCTTGACAAAGGCAACCACAGAATATACTGGGTTCTTGTTTGTTTGTTGTTTAACGCCGCACTTGGCAATATTCCAGCTATATGACGGCGCTCTGTAAATAATCGAGTCTGGACCAGACAGTCCAGTGATTGATATCATGAGTCGATCCACGCAATTGGGATCGATGACATGCATCAACCAAGTCAGCGAGCCTGACCACCCGATCCCGTTAGTCGCCTCTTACGACAAGTATAGTCGCCTTTTACGGCAAGCATACTGAAGACCTATTCTACCCCGGATCTTCACGAATGTGCTGGGTTGAGGTGGGGTGGGGTTGGGTAGGGAGGGGAGTCGGGGTCACTGCGATACAGTTATTCTCCCTGAAAAGAGGCGACAAAAAGTTATTTCACCCACATAACATTTTTACAGTACATACACGGAAATTAAGTTTGAATATAACACACCGACACCATCAATAATGAGTGCGATTTGATTGGTTGGTTGGCTTGTTGTTTTACGCCGCACTCAGCAATATTCCAGCTATATGACGGCGGTCTGTAAATAATCGAGTCTGGACAAGACAATCATGTGATTGATATCATGAGTCGATCCACGCAATTGGGATCGATGACATGCATCAACCAAATCAGCGAGCCTGACCACCCGATCCCGTTAGTCGCTTCTTACGACAAGCATGGTCGCCTTTTACGGCCAGTATGGGTTTTTTGCTGAAGACCTATTTTACCCCGGATCTTCACGGGTCAAATGAGTGCGACTGAACTTAACAAACCAGTGGGTGATAAAATGAGCAACGTCCCACGTCGCCGGAAACGATGCCGTAGACTTACACAATGTCTAACAATGTTACAATGCAGCTCTTAGGACAAGGACGATAAACTGGGACCTTATTCCAGCTTTGCAAGATACCCCCAAACAGAACCATTTTTTGTGGAATCAAACCCGTCTCTCCGGCGTGACGAACAAACACCTCACTATACTACCCAGTTTCTCACACCCCACAGAACGGGGGCACGCATAAGGCGCCGCAGTCGTATAAGGCGCCGCAATTCGCTATGCAGAGTTGCGTCCCATGGGCACACCAGAAACCTATGATTGTGGGTTCGAATCCCGGTTCGCCCCGATTATGTTTCTAGGTTTGTCAGCACCATACCCGTGCTCGTGGGCTTCACCGAAGTGGTAAACGTCTGAGACAACATCACTTCGGGCTTTCCTCCCACATCAATCTGACACGCCGTGATATACCTGGAATACTGTCCATGCGTCCTTAAACCCAACTCACTCACTCACTCTTATAGAACATAAACCTATGATAAATTATGTGCCATGCAAACAAACTTAAATATAAATAAAAATCAACAGAAAATGAGGAAAGAAGAAAAAATAAATGAAAAATGAAAAAATGAAAATTGAAATCCTTTAATCTCACCTGGTAAACGCACACTAACTTCATCGTACATATTGTTCCAGTTATATTCCCCTTCGAAAGCACATCTGTATATAACGCGTGTTGCGTTCGTATTTGCAAATATTTCCAATGGTTGTGTTGCGTAGATATCGCACTCATTGTTTTTAATTTCTCTCACTGGTCGATTGTTTGGGATCACCTCGAACCGGTCATGACCCCTCGACCTGTAAAACCACGTGAGCTTTTTGGGTGGATATCCGACCTTGGCCTTGCAATCGACAATTAAGGACGAGTTAACCTCTATGACCAGGTAGTTATAATGGATAGAAGGGCGCATGGCGTCAACTGCAAACAAATAGAACAGAATCAAATAAAGAAAGAAGGAAGGAAGAAAAGAAAAAACAGCACAAAATATAGCGTCAGCATGATATTCCATTTCCTTCATTTAGAGGGGCGGTGGGTAGCCTTGTGGTTAAAGTGTTTGCTCGTCACGATGAAGACCCGGGTTCGATTCCCCACATGGGTAAAACGTGTAAAGCCCATTTCTGGTGTCCCCCGCCGTGATATTGCTGGAATATGGCTAAAAGCGCGTAAAACAATACTCACTCACTAGAGGGTTAGGAAAGTTGAATTTTACCGTGATAAAAGCCAGGGAACCTATGTTGACGCGGGGCATTAACATGCGCCTCGTTCTACCCATCCCGGGAGTCGAACCCGGACTTAGATGTGATTGGCAAAGGAACACACCAGTCCCTTGTCATTTGAAGATGGATGATGTGCTACAACGTCAAGGTGTTACGTTGCGACGTCGTGACAAGAGTAACGTTGACGTCATGTTATGCATGTATTGCCCGACTTGATGACTGTCCTTGTCTGTGCGGTCGATTTTATTGTCTCCTAGTTGGATGTTATGAAAGAAATGGGATTTAAACTGGAGGTGAGGTGAGGCGAAATGGGGTTTAACGTCGCGTCCAAGATTATTGCACTTATATAGCGACGTGCATGTACGTGTGTGTGTTTGTGTGGCTGCTTGTACTAGTCCGGACTGATGCCGATTTATAGTGCTAGCTCACTGAGATACCATGCCGCAGTTTAACATGAATACCCCACTCAGACACAGTATACTGACTCCGAGCCGACCAGTCCTTGTTTTAGCCCCTTAATGCCGAGCGCCAGACAGGGTAACAACAAGTACCATCTTTTAACCTTCCGGGCGGACGCTCTACCATTAGACCACGGAGGCGGTCGATTTAAACTGGAAGAAATGTATGTTACAACTTCGTAAGCTTTGTAAGATTCCTTAATACCTCGACAAAGCACACACTACTAAGGTGAAGGGGGCACAGGTGGCCCAGTCGTCTTAGGCGCCGCTATTCGCTGTGCAGAGTTGCGTCCCTTGGGCACGCCAGAAACCTATGATTGTAGGTTCGAATCCCGGTTCGCCCCGATCATGTTCCTAGGTTTGTCAGCACCATACTTGTGCTCGTTGGTTTCACCGAAGTGGTAAACGTCTGAGACCTGCATCACTTCGGGTTTTCCTCCCACATTAAGCCGACACGCCGCGATGTTACTGGAACACTGTTAAAAGCGGCGTTAAACCCAACTCACTCACTCACTACCAAGCTGGAATGAGTTCTAGCTGTTAAAAACGATACCGTTAATACAGTGTACTTTAAATTCATTACAATGCGCGAAAATCTACCCCTGGACTTAATGAATAAACAATCCCCCCTCACATCAAATTACCTTTAACAGACAGATGCAATACTTTTTGAACGGTCGAGGTGCCCACATATTTACAGACATACATCCCCCGATCCGAACACTGCAAATCTCTCAACACAAGAGTAAATTCCGTTAGTTCCGTCTCAATCGTAATCTTCTGCCTGATCCGAGATTTAAAGGAGTAATCCACGCCGGTCGCCCATTCTGGTGTCTTGGAATCCGCCGGTAAGCGCACGATCGTAACTTCGGATCCGTCTGGGCGTCTTCGGATCCAAGATATGACATACCATCTGTGATAGCCTTCCAGTTTACACTGGAGTGTAGTGCTTTGACCTATATATCCTTCGGCAGCTTCCGGCACTTCGAAATCACCTGCAAAAAAGTAATCCATCATTGAAATACAACCAAGTTGAAAGAGATTTTTCAGTTGGAACTTGACTTTTACCGGAACTAATTTCGGCTCTCTGTTTTTTTTTTCATTTCATATTTGTATTTTTTTGCGTTTTAATTGGGAATAACTGTAAATGAACGATGTAAAGGTCGCGAAGTACATGCTATTTGGAGACATGATCAGAAACTGATGTGGGGTTTTTCGCGCTCGACCGAACCCCTCTATATCACGTTTTAGCAACAATATCGTTGTTCACAATATCAATCACTGTTTTGTCTGGGCCAGACTTGATTATTTACAGGTCTCCGTCATATAGCTGGAAGTTCTCTATCGTTATGTCTTCCAAAGATCGACGATCGGACCATTGGGGTCCAACTGTATCACCTCAGAATAGAAGCTAGTGTTCTTTTTCACACACATGGGTACTCGACGAAGACAGTGATTTGATTCCCCAATGGGTACAATGCGTGAAGCTCATTGCTTGTGTACCCTGCGTGATAGTGCTGTAATATTGGAAGCGGCGTCAGACCATACTCACTTAATACAATCTCATTAAAATTAGGGGGCACGGGTGGCCCAATCGTCTAAGGCGCCGCGATTCGCTGTGCAGAGTTGCGTCCCATGGGCACACCAGAAACCTATGATTGTGGGTTCGAATCCTGGTTCGCCTATATTATGTTTCTAGGTTTGTCAGCACCATACCCGTGCTCGTGGGTTTCACCGAAGTGGTAAACGTCTGAGACCTGCATCACTTGGGGCTTTCCTCCCACATTAAGCTGACACGCCGCGATATAACTGGAGTACTGTTAAAAGCGGCGTTAAACACAACTCTCTTACTCACTCATTAAAATCAGATCATAGTTTTCGCTACCGCTAAACAAAGATCTGAGGACATCCCATTACGGGTCACCTCAGAACGACCTCTCGCGAACTTTGACCGATCAATGAAATGACGGACAAGAAATCGACATTAGCCAATCAGAAGGCAGCTTTCTCGAGCTTTACGACACTAGTTTCAAACTGGCGACTACGCTTCGAAACATTTGACGTATTCTCGGTTTAAAATTTTAAAACTGATAAAAAGAACATTCTAGAATGGCTAACAGATGACCCAGATTGTATGGATATAATCATAAAATCCGTAAATGTCGTTCAGAATACCCTCTGTTAAATAGTTCGAGGTTGCATGATCAGAAAACACATTCCGTCTGTCACTTTCATGATCTGGTAAGCGACGCTCTGATTGGTTAGATGAAAGGTCGGTCTAACGTGACCCGTAATGGGATGTCCTCAGATCTTTGTTTAGCGATAGCGAGAACTAAGATCTGATTTTAATGAGATTGCTGACTTGGAAGTCCTTTTGCTGGAGGTGAAAAACACATTTTTCTTAACTATTAAGCGATTTTAGTGCATGATGGCTCGTTGGAAAGCTCTTCAAATTCTGAGACGTTTGATACCAAATCCGACTGACATATAATTGGTCGTTAGGGAAATACAACCTGATTTTAATGAGATTGCACTTAATATTACTTAGTTTTGAAGTTTCTCATTCATAACGTGGAATGAAAATAAACTTGCACAAAGAAATACTTCTTTAAGTCAACTCTGCGCAATATAGTTGATGAACGAACTGGAGTGATGAAATAAAAAATGATATAAAAGAAACGTAACGTAGTATTTGATTTTTTAAAAATGGCAAAACAGTTCCCATCCAATAACGATCTTCTTTTGCAAGATTGTAAATATACTAGGAACTATAATAACAATGCGGATCCCTCGGGTCCCAAAACCAAATGATATATATATATATACAAAAATGTTCACTCGGTGTACATGTAATATATAATAAAATAATAAAGTCCACGTTAGTCCAACATCTTCTTTATATCAGTTTCAGACATAATATAAATATATATAATATGTTAATAATAATATTACATAAATATATAAATATAAATATAAATAATAATATGATATAAAGAAGATGTTGGACTAACGTGGACTTTATTATTTCATAAATATATTTATATATTCAAAATGCTATTACGTTTGAAGGTACATAAGAAAAACACAAAATCCGGACGTGAACCAGCGGGGAAAACGTGAAACATTTATGACAAATTATGTTGTGATTTCAACATCCTGGTGTTTCGGTGCGGTAAAGAAAGGTCTGATTAAAGTTTTGATTTAAAAATATATTAAATTTGAAATGGCATGTATCTAAATAACGCCGTTGTTTTGCAAATACATTCAATGATCCCAAGTACGCGTGACGATCCGAGTTAGAATACGTTTTCAGCAACCCATGCTTGTCATAAGAGGCGACAATGCTTGTCATAAGAGGCGACTAACGGGATCGTTAGTTGCTGAAGACCTCCCGGCATAATGAAAGTTAAATGCACTGTGAATAGCACGATCAGATACGCAGTGGCCTTGGCAAGCATATCGTGCGCTTGTGCTTGTAGAATCAAAGCGTTTGTGCTTGTAGAATCAAATTAATACCTAGTCACCCACCACAATTAAAAGGAATGGGCAAATTACTTCAACAAGGACGCACATGTTATGATCCCTTTGAAGATAAACTAAGTACAGTTCAGTGAACTATTAAGAGACACACCCCTTAAACGTTTTGCCTTGATTGTTCTGTGTATAATTTAAACCAAGTCAACCATTCTTGGCATGCGATTCTCGTGTATCAAGCCGGAAAGACGCGAAACATGCAACGCGTGTGGAGTCTGTATTTGTTCATGTACTTGACGACCCGCTAAATGAAACACAATGAGTGAAAACAGTCAGTGGGTTCTCGTTTCCGCATTCAACATTCCGCCCGCTACTTCCTTATTTGGCATTAAACCATTATGGTGACGTCACGGTACTGTTGTTTCCATTGATTCTGAGCCAGGAAGTCACTGGACCTTCTGAACGAGTAAAACTGATTGCCTTATTGTTTTATTGATACCATAGTCAGCTTTTTGTTATTCAATTCAATTCAATTCAATTCCCAGCCCCATCACTACACCCTCAATGTATTCAATTGGCGTCTCTCCCGTTAATCCCATTAGTTTCCTCGTTATATTGTTATCTGTTTGTTGTTTAACGCCGCACCCAGCAATATTCCAGCTATATGACGGCGGTCTGTAAATAATCGAGTCTGGACCAGACAACCCAGTGATTGAGATCATGATCATCGATCCACGCAATTGGGATCGATGACCTGCATCAACCAAGTCAGCGAGCCTGACCACCCGATCCCGTTAGTCGCCTTTTACGACAAGCCTAGTCGCCTTTTACGGCAAGCATGGGTTGCTGAAGACCTATTCTACCCCGGATCTTCACGGGTCGGGTCCGTCGGTGTACGATGACAAGCCGATGAACCAACTCACTGAGTCAGACCACCCGATCAGCATAGGTTGCTGGGATCTGTTCGAACCAGGAATTCTCACGAACGTAGCAATTAAGTATCCATGAGATGGAGGTGCCACGCAATCTGGCAAATCACAGACTGATCGCTAAAACCAGAACGTGACAGAATCACAGAGAAAGAAGCATCCCCATCAGTATTGCCAGGGCGCACGAGTAACAGTTTTACAATCACAGAGTAAATGAAATACTGAACACTCGGAGTTGTTTAGAAGCGCTAAAACGTTTTTTTGACCTTACTAAAAGTGTTTTACAGTCGGAAAGTCAATACTGTACAGCGACAGAAGCGTGGCAGAGCTTTTCTCACGGATAATCGTGTATTCTTGCGTGTGTGCGTGTGTTGCGTGGTGACGTTGTGTCCAAGGCTACTCGATAACTCACACCTAGGACACTTTAAACTTAATCTATAGCCGCCACGTGGCGTAAATGACGCGTTTACCAGCACAAATAACACCGTCGGACATGTAACTGTCCATTTTAGGGGGCGATACACTTTCAGAAAGACAGCGAGATGTTGTTGGACGTCCTCGTCGTCAATATTACGTCTAGGAAGACCGCCTGTTCAGACAAACTGGTCGTTGCAGTGAAGATGGGGTCACGTATCTGGCTTGCTTTGACACAGAATCGAGCCTTGACCAGACACACCAGTGAACGATAGAGTGAACATTGTGTCACGTGTCTGGCTTACATTGACACAGAATCGAGTCTTGACCAGACACACCAGTGAACGATAGAGTGAACATTGTGTCACGTATCCGGCTTACATTGACACAGAATCGAGTCTTGACCAGACACACCAGTGAACGATAGAGTGAACATTGTGTCACGTGTCTGGCTTACATTGACACAGAATCGAGTCTTGACCAGACACACCAGTGAACGATAGAGTGAACTTTGTGTCACGTGACTGGCTTACATTGACACAGAATCGAGTCTTGACCAGACACACCAGTGAACGATAGAGTGAACATTGTGTCACGTGTCTGGCTTACATTGACACAGAATCGAGTCTTGACCAGACACACCAGTGAACGATAGAGTGAACTTTGTGTCACGTGTCTGGCTTACATTGACACAGAATCGAGTCTCGACCAGACACACCAGTGAACGATAGGGTGAACTTTGTGTCACGTATCCGGCTTACATTGACACAGAATCGAGTCTTGACCAGACACACCAGTGAACGATAGGGTGAACATTGTGTCACATGTCTGGCTTACATTGACACAGAAAGTCGAGTCTTGACCAGACACACCAGTGAACGATCGAGTGAACATTGTTTCCCATATCAGCCACTGACACAAAGTCGAGTCTTGACTAGATACACCAGGTGTCGATGGAGTGAACATTGTTTCACATATCTGCCATTGACACAAAGTCGAGTCTTGACCAGACACACCAGGGGTCGATCGAGTGAACATTATTTCACATATCTGCCATTGACAGAAAGTCGAGTCTTGACCAGACACACCAGGGGTCGATCTAGTGAACATTGTTTCACATATCTGCCATTGACAGAAAGTCGAGTCTTGACCAGACACACCAGGGGTCGATCGAGTGA